AAAGGGGTTGGCCGTGTCTTGGCTTCTTGTGTCCTGAGCTTCGTTCTTGGAGCTGGACAGCCAGAACTCATGGTTTCATCGACTCAGAACTATGACTGTATTATTCCGAGGTGTCAGAAAGCTGTAAAACCGGATTGTGGAGTCTGTGAAATGAATCCGTCAGATTTACCCTGGTATTCGGCATTCTTGAACTTCAAAACCGTTTTAGGCCTTGTTCTCTGAGGATTACTTGGACAAGGCCTGCTAAGTGTGTCTATGAGGAGAACTTACTTTCTCTGAATAAGCTTGTCTTACAGCTCTGAGTCACACACCTATACCGGCATGTTCATCATTCTGATCCGTGTTGAAGGCAGGGCGCAGTCTGAACTCAAGTAAACAAATTGGTAAAGTCAAAAATGGCCGTTACTTGGCCAGACGTTTCAGAGCTCCATCTCTTCGTGTTTCACGGACCAGCTCAGAGCAGATGGGCTGTCGATTACGTTTGCAACGACCTGTTCACCTCGAATCACCCTCAACTCAAAGCGTTTCCGATCCGTCCAGTGTTTGTTGAGTGGAGTGCTTGACGAGCGGGCAATATCTTTGATCGGAAGAGCGCCAACAAGCGCGTTGAGCATGAGATGACTAATCATAACAAACACTATGCAAATAGTACACCGTATATAGTAGTACCGTAATAGGCTCCACTAATGGAAGTCACCATCTGTTAGTTGAGCTTTATGGTAGGCCCGACTAATGCTTGAATGAAAATTCCTAGGAATGAAACCACATTTAGAGCTGGCCATGCTGGCCCATGCTATCTTGAAGAGGTGATGAAGGGTTGCCAATTAGGTTGTTCCCTTTTCTGATTGGGAAAGTTTTCCAAAAGGAGAAATACTGAAATAAACAATTCAGTATGGAGGGCGTTTCATATTTGGGGGTTGTCTTTAGCAAACAAGAATCATCCCAGAAGTCTACCCCGCTGTATGGCCTTTCTGCACTTGTGGCCCAATACCCAATTCCAGGTGAAGACCTATGGTTTAGTTCGATCGTAGGTATGTTCGTTCCACTGCGTTGGTATGATTGTGAGTGATATGGTTGCTGTGATCCTTAAGAATCGGCTCCTGCTCAAGCCGAACAAGTCTTCACTTCTTATCGAACCAGTCGTCAGTTACTGTTAGAACTTTTAGGGAGGTAAAGTTCCAGACATGGCTATTATTTATCCTTCAGAAAAGTCCAGGTGGAGGTAAAGCTCCAAAGTGTGTATGCGATTAGAACTCACATCCTCATCACAGGACATTGCCTACGGTATTTGAGTCATACACCTCTTTAAGGTTTTCGGATCGTCTCACTAGAAGACCACTTGATGAACCTGGAAATGTTTTAAGTGTTTCGCCAAAAAATAGCATCCGATAGCAAAAAGCAGTAGTCAGACAGGCAAAAAACGGAACAGGTACGGTAGTGATACCGAAGTAGGAGGTACCGTAACTTCTTTAGAAGTGAACATCAAAGCCGAAGTGAGATAGCCCTCATGCCGACATGCCCCATAGCGAAAGCAATTCCTCAGGCGAAAATGACGCTACAGGTGGGCATGTACCTTACTTTTTGATGAATTCCTTGTCGAGATCTCGGCACGTGCCCTGACCCACCGTAAGCACTACTTCAATACGACCGCGATGCTATCATGCATAGGCCAGATGTTCTTTTCGTAGATGGATTAGTTAGATGCTTATCGCAGAACTACTTACAAATTAGCAAACTCCATTACTATGTACTGGTCCATTATCGTAACGATTAAGGCCAATCAAATAGGATTCTTTCTTAAGTGTTTTCAAAGGATCAGCTACCTAGTAATTATGAATACCCGGTCTCAGCATAATCTCAAGCTCTTTTCTTCTAAAAATATGAATTCGGGTCGCTCCAGCATACTTGATTTGATCTCCCATATTTTTTTCTTGGTCAATAAGCCATAGAGGTATTCAAGCATTACCGGTAGAGTGTATCTGAATGAAAAAGCTTCCAAGAACGCAGAGTTGTAGAATTTCCTTACCAGCAAGGTAAAATTTAAAGTAAAATGTTGTACAAATCTCCCAGGAGTACCTCCTATTCGGCCTGAAAGGGTGGGAACTGGGTTTACTACTGATTGGAGCACCGAACACTGAACTTCACTACTTTCTCGGAAATTAAAGTAACCGAATACTGGATACATGCGCTACTTCAACTCAATAGCAGAACTCTTACTTTCCAACCATATATGACAGCACTGAAGCGGGAAAATTTCGGTGAAAAATCTATTTTGATTGAGATCTGAAAAGGTGATCGATCTATAGAAGCTGGAACGTCCATATGTAATATTTATTTTATGTTCTTGGAGTTATGTATCTCAATGATTATTTCTTATCATGATTTACTCAAAAAATTTACCTCAAAGAGAAACGTAAATGAAGTGGCTTTTCCATTCTCTTTGAAAGCGCCACGCATCTGACTTTCATTCCGGATTTCGACCTCATTTATTTGAATTCCTTGTCTTTATAAAAACATCTAGACCTAGTCTCCAACCAAGTTTCGTTGTCCTTTACTGGTAACATACTTACCAGCCGTAGTTTACTTGGGAAGGAATCCGTGCTACGTGCGGGAAGTAATTTTAAGTTTACTTCACATCTTTAACTTTCAAATTCTTGGCTACTGTGATGCCACCTATTGACAATTACAATGCACTATGAGCAGTATGATCCATGTGACTGATTCCCTAATTTGAATAGAGTAAAGTTTAAATTTTATGGCTGTCCAGCTAAACTCTAGGAACGCAGAAGGGAGAAATGCCTCCATCTTGAGTCGAAAGTGTCGATCGCAGCTCAGATCTTATAGCAATCATGAGATAGTTGCAAATCAGGGTCGGATTAGTCTTCTGTCAACAACTCGCTTATGGCTTCTTACCAAAACTTCACAGTTCTACTAATTACCCAAGTTTTATTGATACTGCTGAGGTGGGTAGTCACTAATTACGACCAGAGTGTCAGCAGTCACTGTGCTAAGGTAGAAGTGTGAATTGACTCACATTTCTGGCACCTTCGCTCCCCACAGCAGCGATGATTTCCCGAGATACTTGATCCCTTATAAGTTTGCAATCTACACCTACCACAAAGGATAGAGTTCGAAAAATTTCTAGGTGTTCCCGTTCCGGTAGCGCCTGAACAGTCAACATCCCCACACAACCGCAGTAATGTTTAGCTGTGAGGAATTGCGCATCGTTTTTGTAAATGGTTGTTATTTTCAATGATTATTTACTTCTTGTTTGTTTTTTACAAGGTAATATATACAAACAGGTGACTAGATAAATTATTAGGCAATTTGAAAACAGAGTAACTATTTCTTTAAGGGGTTACCCACCACTCCCTGAGTTTCGTCTGCTAGAAAAGCTACTCTCTTACTCAATCGTTCCCTCTTTTTTCTTAAGACGGGACACAGTTGGTGGTCGGTGGATTGCATGCGGCAAATCGTGACGTTTGGTTTTTTGTTGCCCAGGCTGACCACCCGGATAGCACTTTCCGCGTTTTTTTCCCGGCCATTTCTGCCGCTCTACGAACCGCCTTTACGGCACCTCAAAGGCAGCTGTTTACTGCGGAAAACGCCTGATTTTCAGTGAATTGCCACGACGACGGTGAACAGCCGTGTCAATGTGAAAAGAATAAAAATCGCCTTCAAAGAAACCCGATCGAGTTGGAGACTTCTTAGTGAGAAAGGCATGAACGATTGCAAAGGAGGCTTTTCGTTTAACCTTGGAACACTGTGAAGGGATTAGCCACAAACGGCTTTGGAACACACCAGCTGCTGCTCGTGGCCGATTTGAACCGATTTAGCCATTTCGAAATGATTTCATTTCCTCTTTTGAAGAGGAAATCATGGCGGTGAATGGGTCTTTTATAAGAAGCCATGGCATGTGAATGATGTTCTACGGAATCGATCAGTTTTTTAGAGGCCTGGCTCATTCTTATTAGATTCTTTTTGGCGAAGAAAGGCAAAAATATCTTTCTCAAGGTAGCTCTTATGCAATCGCTCCATTTCTGTTGAATTAAGGAATGTCAAGAGGAAAAGGGCGAGCCGGTTTGAAAATCCCAAAGAGAGGGGACAGCTAAGCACGCGATGCCGACAAATCAAATGAGGACTAAACGGGAATCAAGCGAATATTTCATTGGGTAAACAGTCTACAGCAATGGGTGAACCTATCATTTTGAAAGGAACCGTGAAAAATTCATCAGGGGCTAGAAAAATGGCTGAGAGACTCGAGAGGGCTTACTCACCACTAGTAACACTGCAGTTATTATTGACAAATGCCTAAGGATTTGATAATCATCTATGAGTTCCCCAGAATAGGGACCTTATATAGGGGTCATTCACAAATTATCTGAGCAAAACAGACATCTCTGTGGGAGAATTCACCCTGGTAATTCTCGGGATTGGTGCCTGAGTTCAAGACTATTCCTGGACCACAGCGAAGGGTTATACACTACTTGAGATCCTGAGAGATGTGCTTGGGCCTTTTCAGTTATTCCCGTTTAGAGAGCCTGTTTTATATTTGAAAATTACTTTTCAACAAATTCAAAAAACCGTAAAATCCTACAAAATGGGCTTGGGGCACTGCTTTCGGGATGGGTGTCTTGGACATTGACTTATTGACTTCCTCAATTTTTCCTCTGATCATCCTCCTATTCCTTCCCTTTTCAGATAGGCTGATTGACCATATAGTATCCCTTTTTGAACATTCAAATACTGAACCTTAAAGTTGCTTATTTGTTGAGAAACCTCTTTGTTTACTATGTTTTCTAACAAGATTCTCGCCTATCGCGCGACAACAACCGCGACCTTCCTCGCGTGGGCGGAGCTTCAGGAGCACTGTGGGAGGAGCATCGAGGTGGTGGTTGCAGAGACGAGCTAGTCACTGTACCGTGAATCGGTGTTAGGAAGCGCTTTATGCCATCTTCACCACAACTTCGAGGATCTCGTCCAAATCAGGAGCGACGGAATGCTCGTGAACGTAACCGAGTACATCAGGTACGGTGACTCCCTTTCAAGAACTTCTATACTCTTTACTTTTTCTAATACCTATTACTGTAGAATTAATCGAGGTTACTGTAAATTTGTGTGATCAGTTTGAAAAAGATATTTTGTAGGTGAACCATGGCTTTGACTTACTTCGTACTCGTGTACCCAAAGCTGGTGTTAACAAGAAACTCTCCAAGGCAGATACTTTGCGAGAAGCAGTACGGTATATACAGTACCTACAGAGTTTACTCCATTCCGATGGTGGCAACAACCAGACAGGTGAGTCAGAACTTCTCTGATACTGTATTGACTTCGAATTTCACCTTCTTTACAACTTTTCTGACTTTCTTCCGAACCTTCTGGAGCGCTCTTGTTGGTAAGGCGTCTCTTTGAAAGTTCCATGGCACTAAATGTCAGGAGACTGCTGGCAGAGGCAGAACTTAAGAACTATTTTATAGATTTACTCATCGATTTTTCAGTTTATCCAGCTCCATCGTGCTCAGTAAACTCAAACATCTATGCTCATTCTGATATGGAATTCGATGTCTACTTCCCCACCTCAGCACCGGTCTCCACTACCTCCTCACAAAACCCCAGCCCTGTTCATTCGATGTATTGCCCACCACCAGTACCACAACCCACTAATCCAGGTAACCATTTCCTTCATTTTACAGCAACTCTTTTGTTACTACTACTCAATAAACCTCTCATGATACTACTTTTTTCAGGTGCTCGGCCATTTCTGTGAGTTCAACACCGCGCCGACTTTCTGCCTCGATCTCCATCGTTCCTCATTCCATTCACTTGTCTTACATCACGGGTTCTGTATATAT